TTGAAAAACGCATAAATAAGTGTATATTTTAATATCGACAAATTTCCGCTTCCAGTTTCATAAAGATATTTTCTCTCAAAAATTTAAAAAAGAGCAAAGATATAGTTAAATTATTTTAATAAATAGTAAAGAAAAATAAAATATAAATAATTAAGATAAAATTAATTATAATATCATAATTAATTAAATTAATTAAATAATTAATTATAATATTATATACAACATAAGCTGATACATCAAATTAAAATATACTGCAGAGAGTGATAGTATTTTTTTTAATTTTTAACAATAGCCTTTATATTAGTTTATTGACCTCATATAACTATCGAGCATTCAGTTATTTCTTTATAAAACATTGATTCTTTCCTGCGATACGGTGTCACGCACATGTGAGCATAAATACAGTAAAATTATATGAGATAACGTCATCATTGCTCGCAGCTTAAATCATAAGCGGATAATACGTATTAATTTGTAGAGACGAAAAGCATTGTTTTATCGCCAAGGCTCTAATTGCTCCACCGCGCAAGTATCGACAACTTATTTGAGTCGTGTCCCACATTAGCGTTAATTCCAAGTTGTCAGATTTAATCCGCCCATTTACTTACTTAGACGTAATGCGAGATTATACGCTAGGTGTCGAGTGCGCACTTTTTCTCACGATATTTTATCCGTAGGAATTAATCCGTGTTATATGGGTATTAATCTGCCGCAGTTAACGCGGTCTGGCAGAAATACTATATCACTTTTTTTTTCTCGCCATCTTTGCGATCAATCATGAGCAATTACTAATTACTATCTGAGATCTACTGATCTATATATAAGATAGAAAGTTTACGTGCGAGTTAATTAAATCTTTCTGCTTGTGTCATACTCGCGAAATCGTTACAAGTCCGCAACACACAGTTATATTATATATTGTAACGTATATTAAATTATATAAAATTATATTGATATTTTAATTTATACTATGCATTTATTAATATTAGAAAATTAACGCTTAATAAAGTTTAACTGTAAGTTTCCACAAATTATAAGATGTATAACTTAGAAAAGTTGTGTGTGCACTTTCTCTCGACCGACATACTCTTTGACGAATAGTTAAAGTTAATTCTTTCTTAACAAAAATGTTTAACTTTGAAATTTAATATTCTGCTAAGTAAAATACTCAAATACTCGAAATTTGTTATAAAATAGAATCCGATTGGAATATTTATATAAATAATATTTTGTCATCGACTTGTCTTCTTAAGCTTATAAATCCACGTGAAATTAATTATCAATGGTTAATTTTTTAAGCTATTATTGTTGTATCGCATTAATAATAATGGAACTGTCATTTCGATAAAAATTCCTTAAAGTGACATTATATACCGAGATATTTTTTTTATATACATAAATATCATTTTTACAGTTTCTGCAAATAACGTCAAAGTGTGTATCGCCGAGATAATAATGGATTATCAATGGATATGAAATCGCTACATACTTTTTCGCTCCTCTCATTTCACTGGCACGCCACGTTTTATATTCAAATACAGATATTATGTTGCTCGGCCTCGATCGTTGCTCGTCCGTAATGCGGCTGCGTCTTATGATCCGTGACCGCATTTTTCCCTGGATTAACGAACGTTCAACCCAAATCGTCGCGCGACTCGAAGAAGGAAGGTAGCGCGAGGCAGATTACCACTAAAAAAATCACTTTCGAAAATCGCCGAGCGATTCCCCTGCGGCGATCGCCGGAAGTGGACCGGAAATCGGTCGTCCCGCTGTAAGGCCACTCGATTTCACACGCGGATCTCCGCTGCGTGAACGTGGAATTTACATTGATAGTTTTAAGAATATTATTTATTATGCATCGTTTTGTAGTGAAATTATTGCCTGTAACTATGATATTAATTGATAGTTGTCAAGCATAAAATGTGCAGTCGTATACCTACATAAATTAAATTTTTATTAAGATTACATATTTACATATTATTTTTTCAAACGTTACTTCATTTTTTTTTTTTTACTGATTTCAGATATTATTTTGACATATATTATTTGAAAAATATTATATTAATTACAGTCAAATAATTTTTAATTAAAAAAGATCAAATATTTTTATCTAAGAAAAAAGTATATTTCTGTTTATTTATATTTTGCTAAAAATCGATAATTCATTAATTACTATAGTTATTATAATTGCAAGCTTAATATTTTGGAAATGTATACACTGCAACAAATTTGTTACCTTGACTAAACCTTTCAACTAAATATTATTTTGTGAATTGAACATATATTAAAATTATTTCAATTAAATTTAACATATTAAATCTAACAAAATAGTAATTTAATCCAGTAATTAAATTCTTTTTCAGTGTATGAAAGACAAAAAATATAACATTTTTCTCGAAGAAATAAAAAAGCATGCTCGCACGGATGCGGCAGATGTCGGACAATTTGAAGGTTCGCGGCAAAGTTATGACGTGTGTTCTTTTCTCTTCGCATATCCTGTTTTCGCAAGGGAGCCTACTTGAGCGAAGAAAGACCGAGGAGGGAGAGATCCGCCCTCTCTCGAAGGGCGAAGGTATTTTATATCCATATTGCCTTGCATCACTCACGTTTCGCGTTTTCTTCATCCCGACAGGATGTCCCATTCACGAGTGCCTTGAAAGCCGGTAATCGTAACTGACCGACTGACGTATCGCGTGAATGTAACCGTCGTCACGGCACGTTCGAAAGCACCTTCGAGTCTGTCCCCGCAGTTAACATCTCCATTGTTAACGAATGGAGAAAAGTAAGGCCAGCGAGAACGGCTCGTTCGAAGATCGTTTCGGGATAATTTGCAATTGTGCACGGAGAAAACGTCACTAATATGTAAGATCCCGCAGCGGAAAGTGCTCGCGAGATGATTCGCAAGACTGTAATTTAGTCCGTACGTTTTCGATTGTGCGGGCAATAAAAACGTTTTTTTTTCTTTCAAAAGAATTTTTCGGTCCACAACGGCTTGGTTGAAAAGCATTTTTTTTTTCTTTCAAAAAAAATATGGTAAAAACCATATCCGGATCTGCCTATATACGGGAGGTACTTTTTTTTTTGCTTTAAATCTCCAATTTTTTCGCTTGTCACTTCTTAAGAAGAACGAAAGAAAAATATTTTCAGTGTCTATATTTTTTGTTCTCTCTTCTCAGGTAGGAATTTTGTCTAGGAATAATCAGGGCTCCATATATTCTTTTAAAAATATTTCTGGAATCCAGGTGAAAAATCTAACTAGAACCTGTGTAAAGTTTGGGACCCCTAAATACAGGGCCTTATCGCAGAATCCGAGGAGTTTCAAGATTACGCCCAGAATTTGTAGAAACATTATTTGGAGTCTAATTAGGACCTATAATTTTTTTAAATATTTGCTTGATTTGTATTATAATTATTTCTATAAGCTAGATTATTCAATCCTGGCCCCATATATAGTTTCATATTTATTCTAATTTGGGAGAAATATGTCAGTGACAATCTAGAACCCGTGCAGATTTTTCCGATTCTGTTTTTCCTCGGTAAAATAAAGGTAAATTTCTAGGGTCTAGTCTGGACTTAGACAGATATTTCAAACTGGATTTTTTTATCTGGGGTGCATTTAATCTCGGCAAATCGAGGCAGATTTCTACCTGGGTTATACATGGAGAAAATTTTTTCTGAGATTTAGCCTGAAAATCATTGTAATCGTGGGACAATTGATACTGAAAAAATTTTGTGTTTCTTTGATAACATTTACCACAATAAAAATATTAATATATACTATATATAGTAAAATTAATCGAACATATATTTTATATATCTTATTGTAGATATTAATATTTTCTATAGTGATAAATATTTAATCAGAGAAACTCTTAGAAAATTCTTTAGAACAAGATTGTTAATAATTAAGATGTGTCTTTGAAATATTTAAAACTGAATTATATATAAATAATATATTTGATCCTTGACATGTTTAAAGAATTACAGTCTGTAATACTTGCGAATAAATTTTTGAGAGAGAATAATAATTTTTGAAACATAAAAGCAACGATTGTCGAGGTAGATCGCTATGTAAATTCCCGGCGAAAGCTCGACGAAGCTTTGTGGGTTTGCATGCAAACGCAAAATGTAAACTAGAGGTAGAATAGATTACGACAGTCGTGTGCATTAAATGCGGGTAGGAATGGTGCAATTTTTTCGAGCAGACCCTCATATTTTCACGCAGAAACTTTCCCGAATCACCGCGGAAATTTCTCGGGTCGTAAAGGATTGCGTATTTGCTCACACCTGCGCTTATATTTGCATTCGTATAACACGAATGCGCATCTGAATCTATCGAAATGTTAGAGTGCATTCGCAAGCAGGAATGATTTATACATATGCGACTTGCAAAAAAATCAACTTGGCGCAAATAACGAATATTCTGTTTACAGTGACACCGAGAACATCATTTTAAGATATCGATTTTTCCACGTTTTCTTTAAATCTCCATTAAATTGAAAGTTGAGCAAACATATAACGGAGTAAAACACTACCGATATTTTTGCATCAATAATGTGCGGCATCTTATATATGTTTATCTTTACATATGTCAAGATAATAATGTAAAATTGCATACTATTTGAAGATAACAATTTTAAACTGAGGAATTCGTAAATAAATATATATACTTTTAGGCATAATTTTATTTAATTTAAAAATAGAGGTATAAATACTAAATATTAAAGTGCTAATTAAATATAATAATAATTAATAAATATGTATAATAATATTGTCATGTAAAGAAATATAGTGCACAACTACTCAAAATAATTATGTATATCTGATTATATTCGTACCGAAAATAAATTTCTAAATTTGGACTCTTAAAAATTTGATATATTTTATTATAATATAAGCACGCAGAAAATGATAACATGCGTGTTGCAATATCTTTTTTTGTTAAATTATTGTCTCTATATTTTTCAAAACTCATCATATCTTTATCGTTTTTGTTACAGGTTGGTGACGGCGGAATTATAGTGCTCGATGCCACTTTGGATGCATCTACGACCGACGATGCCGAGTGGGAGATCTCCGGGGGTCCGCCATCACCCTGCGATGTATCGTTTCTCAACGACAATGTCCTCATCAACGGACGCAGCAACCTCTCGAGGACGCCACGAAATCATAAGGTGAGTGAACTCTTGCTGTGATTATGTAGCTTTTCCAAGCGGCGGCTTTGTTCGTACAGGTTTCGCAGAGAGAAAAGTTGCGTCAGAATTCAAGTTTAAAATAATTTATTTTATTGTTTGTATGTTTACGTGTCTTTTTATTCTGCAATCAGGTCTGTTTTTATAAAGAAATGTTTCAACAATCGACATATATTTCTCTGCAAATTATAACAGAAAAATATCTATTAAATTATTATTAAATGAAATGTATACTTGAAAATATATACAAATAATTTATAGGAAAAGAGAACATATATATAATTTTCATTTCACAAAATTGAAAAATAAATTATTGCCAACGTTTTTATAAAGAAATGTTTCAACAATCGACATATATTTCTCTGCAAATCATAACAGAAAAATATCTATTAAATTATTATTAAATGAAATGTATACTTGAAAATATATACAAATAATTTATAGGAAAAGAGAACATATATATAATTTTCATTTCACAAAATTGAAAAATAAATTATTGCCAACGTTTTTATAAAGAAATGTTTCAACAATCGACATATATTTCTCTGCAAATCATAACAGAAAAATATCTAAATTATTAAATGAAATGTATACTTGAAAATATACAAATAATTTATAGGAAAAGAGAACATATATATAATTTTCATTTCACAAAATTGAAAAATAAATTATTGCCAACGTTCGAAATTATCATATCATGTATCTTAATAACAAAATAATCTAGTATTTTTTTAAATGTTTTATTCAACATCTCATGTTTTAATGAAAAAGTTATTATTCTTGTCAACTTGATCAAAAATATTGAAAAGTCTGCTTATGGAGGCTTTTAAACGCCTCGACGTTTTGATATGACGAACCTTATCAACATCTCTTATTCCGCTATGGCATTACGTTTCTCCATCTAATCTAATCAACTGTACTGCAATTATTCGTGGATCATGACCCGGCTACCTTACTAAATCAAAAAGCGTACAACGTAATATTACTTTCAAGATCGCGCCTGCGGCGTGAGAAAACCTACCTCATAACTATTCGTGAGATCGGATGTACACAATGTGTCTGCTTGACTCCCACGTGGCTCGAGGAAATTTTTTTACACCCTCGGTGGAAAGAGAGAGAAAAAAGGGACTTGTGTGTACTAATCCATGCCGTCACGTAATATATTTTTAGCTCGCGAGATGACAAACGTCAATGTTTCACGCCTCTTGGCGCCAGAAAAATGTTCCGGTTATAATACGCGTTATCAAAGAAAACATTGTTTGCCTCTGCGTGTTGAATTTGAAACAAAAAAAATCGTAATTCAACTCGCATAATTTATTAATGTCATTCACAGATGTATGGATCCGTGTTTTTTATAGATGAGCATTTGAAAATTATTTATATATAAAAATTGAAATTATAATCACATTTTTTGTATATATAATACGCACATACTTTGTGTATCTTTGCCTTTGTTAACACTATAAAAAAATTCTCAACGCTATATTATTTCTTCATACTTAGAATTCTCAGGATTGTCTTGTTTTCGAAATATCACTCACTGCTAGACTTTCATATATTTAATTAGACCTTACACATTTATTAAAATTACATCTTCGCTGCACGATCAAACATCTGATTATTCTAATATTATTTACAGCAGAGATTTCTAATCTATTTAAAATTATAATAATAAAATGCAGATTAATATATGCTCGATACATATGTGCAATATCTAAAGATTTTATTAGTTCTAGATGTATATTACATCTGTCGGTATATGTTAAAGTCATTTACGGTTTATGACTTCTGAACGTTTATTGCGTTGTACCAAATTGTGCAGTAATAAAAAATTCAGATCTTCTCGCACGATGTAACTTTGATGTAATCTATTAACGATAGACGTCAAGAGCAGATAAGCGAACAAAGCGTCGCTTATAAAAGATGCAAGATACGAACGTAATGTGCGGGAAATAGTCGAATCATGCAATAATGCGCGGTGCATTATACGTTGCAATATAGGTTCTCGTCGCACCGATAACGTATCACGGGATTTAGTATCGTTCCGCAAAATGCAATTTTGATATTAATACTGAAAATATTTCGTTCAGCCACCGTTTAAACAATTGCAAGGGGAAAAAAGAATGAGTTGCAAAACATGCACATTTTAAAAGACACGTGTTCGAGAATAGAGCTAGTTTAAATGTCAACATTGATCAGCTGATTAAATGTACTGAATGTAGAATGATGTATTGAAGTGTACGTAACTGAATTTTCTCAATAATTAATATTGTACAATACTTTATTCATTTTTACACTACTTCTCGTATATCAGCATAAATGAATCACGCATTCTTTATCATTTTAAATTCTATATTTTTCTTATTTTATTTATTATTGATAACGACATCTGAATATTATTCCTTTATTATCTGTTTTTCATCGTACATATATTTTTTAATTTTAAAAATTCCTCACAGCTATATTTGTCTAATAATTAACATTATCGTATCGTAATTTTTGCAATTCTTTGTGCGAACATTATTTTTATAATAATTTTCACAAAAACGAATAATCGCAATATACTAATTTTCGTATATATGTATATATATATATAGTAGCACAATCATATTCTAGATATACAGATGTGGTGTTTTGCAAACATCCAATCTAAATCTCTGTAGTAATTGTGCATAATCGGACCTAAAAGTTGTTGCGGAATGTTCAATCGTGTCCATTAGATCATTAAAGACGCAATAATTCCCACGCAATCATCAGTGTTTTCACTTCATTCGCGACTTTCTCACGCGATCGCACGTCGATTTGACGCAGAAGGGGGGCCACTCTATTACCGACACCGATAAAGTGCCAATTTGTAAGTAAAAGTATCGTGTCCGTGGACCAGCAATAATTTTCGAGCGCCTCGTCGACAAAGTTAATCTACCGTGCATCATGGGAATAATCGTGGATGAGCAATTCTGCCGTTCCTCTTTGCTACAGGGAACGCAAATGACGAAGCCGCGTGTACCTCGAAAGAAGTAAAAAGTCAATATTCGGAAAAATTATCAAGATACTTTCTTGACTATAATATCGCATACCTTTGATCGAGATAAAAATATGACGCATTTTTTCCGCGAACGCATCGATCAATCTGAAATTGACATTTTCTTGATAAATAATTGATCATAGTCTTCATTTTTAACGTCGAGTGTTAAACTTGGTAAAATAAAAAATTATAATAAATTAATGCGCGTTTGAATTAATTACACTTGAGAATTTTTCACTTAATCTTGATCCTCGAAATTCGCGGGAAAAAAATATTAGCCACCATAGCTAAAATTTAGGCGTGTTAATTAAATTTCATACATAACACAGAGACAGCTAAAATTTAGTTATGGTGGCTAAATGTTTTTTTGTGATTCGATTCGCTTTAAAAATCTTGAAATGTTCAGTTCGATTTAACTGTCGACGTTCTTTTTGTCGCGAATAAATTGATACGACACAACGGCCACGCTATTCGTAGATAAAGGCCGATATAGCTTCGGATCGCTCTGTTTTATATCGTCCATTGTGTTCTTACAAGATCTCGCTATTCGTCTCAGGAGAGCTTTTGATGTTGCTTCCTGGATCGCGCAGGACGCTCGTGTTTTCTCCGAGATTTATTTCAGTGTTCGTATACCGTGTCGAATTGATGAAAACGCTGGAATATAACCGATCGCGCGATTATAAACGACGTGGAATTCCTTTCCGCGACTTATCACGAGTCAATGAGTCCCGGTTAGAAAACGCGGACGTTGCTCCTGGGAGCCATCGATCGAGACGAGAGAGAATTGAGTTATACCTCTTCGTCGTCTTCGAGAAGACGGAGGAAAGATCGGCCGAAGGAATTTTATAGAAAGCGCTGAAAATGATATATCGTTACTTTTATCCTCCAGCTTCGCGTTCAAGTTGAAAATCGTTTTAGAAAATATTCGTCATTTATTTTAATTTTTACGAGCTTCATCAAGTGGCTAACTATCGCGTATTTCCACCGAGTAATAAATATCATCATCCATGTTGTCATTTTGAGAAGAAACTGAAGAATATGATGGTGTATAAAATATATATTTATCTAAAATAAACTGTTAAATAAATTACAATAGAATTTTCAGTCAAATCACGAACTGTGTGCTTGATAATAGAAACATGTCGGTTTCCGCACGTTTCTCTTAAAAACATATCCAAGGAATTCTCGTACATACTATCGTCTCCACGTATCTTGTTCTCGCATAGGAGGAAACTCGTTCTTCTCGTTTATACATGACGTTTTAGCTTTATTGTACTTTAATCGCGATACGATTTAATACCGTTGATGTTTTCGAGATTAACGCTTATTTTGCGTCTTCAACCATTTAAATACACGTCTTACGTAGAGCTTAAAAATATATTCGACGAGCAGTTACATTTTGCATTATGACAAAACTCCATCTCAAGCTTAGGAAATAATTTAAAAAAAAGGATATTCGTTTTATATAACGAAATTTTATTGCAATTTCTATTGCGGATGATGCAAATATATGTAAACGATATCTCTTAAAGAGTAAAAAGAGAGAAACGAAATTTTAATAAAACGCAAAGAGAAATCGAAAACCTTTTGCAAGCGTTTAAATAAAGCGCAACGTTCGCAAAAATGTCGTCGGAGGATGGAGTTCTTCGAGATTTTCTTCTCCCGTTTACCGAGATTCGCATCGCGTCACGTGCAAAATAATGCATACTTTGCGATTCACTTTGTATTACGGTGCGTGCAATTTCACTTCGCCAAACAATCGGACAGTCAATACTTGTCACGAATTCGAGTGGTGGACCTTTCTTTCTTCCGGCTTTTAAACAGAGTGTCTAGCGGTCAGGGAAATCTGGAAAACCGGGCATTGTCAGGGAATTTTATAAATCTGAAATTGTCAGGGAAAAGTCAGGAAATTTTACTATTTATATTCTGGATTTTTCACATTATTCTCTACTTGTCT